TCTGTTTTTTGTTTGGTCGTAAACACTTGCCTTATCCGTAGATATGACAGGTACATTTCTCTGTCCTTCCCTAATTTACATATGCTATCATCCTTTATGTCTAAATCATTTATCCATTTTGATATTCTCTTGGTCTGTGGTATGAGATGTTGATTTATGCCTAGTTTCTGCCAAACTGCTTTCCAGTTTTCCCAGCAGTTTTTGTCGAATTTTGCATCAGCAAGAGTGTCGAACACTGTAATAAAGATGGTGTAACGGCAAAGTAGAAGACTACAAACTTCTCAAATACAGACACATAATCATCCTCCATATATATAATATATGTACATATATACATACACACACACATAAATATATATATATATATATATATATATATATATATATATATATATATATATATATATATACACACATACACATATGTATTTCTGTCTGTCTCTCTCTCTCATTTTACTCTTACTGTCATCACTTATTTTTCACTGGAAAACTCAGATATCCAGAAGGACATGTTCAGAGAGGTTTCTAGATAACGCAGAATTTATTATAGATTTAATGCAGACTTTTTTTTTGCTATATGTCTTACCTAAGCATCAATTTACCCATACTCTATGCAAAGGACTAATGTTTTATCTTATATTTACATTCAACAAAGGAGAAGTGAGATCCTTTCATCATCTAATTGTTTGAATATTAATTGCCAACTTGTGATATTAGTTCAATCCATGTAAATTTATTTAATACGACTGCTCAATAGTCTTCTCCTCCCTCAAATAGCACTCAGTTAAACTACTAAATTCATGACAGAAAAGTCCAATAAGGTTTTTTTTTTAACCCTCAGCTAGAAAGAAATCAGGGTTTAATAGAAAAAATGAAGACAAGGTGGCAATAGAACTGATTTCAAGTCTGGTTGCTATCACTAGACTTTTTTGGTAACCTCAGGCTTGAACCCTCTGGGTTTCTGCTTTCTCTTCTGGTATGAGACAGTTTGTCAAAATGATTTCTTGGATCTGAATTCAAAATTCAATGAGGAATGATGACAAAGAAAGGACTTGAATGTTCAGGCTTCAGCATCCAAGCATCTTATCAGGCTTCTTCTTTCTGAAAAGCAGGACTTGGGAGTGAGAAGGCAGAGAATGGTTTTTTGTTGTTGTTTTTTCAAATGACAGACATAAGAATCCCATTCTGCTCCAAACTCATACTTCTCCTTTAAATGCAGCTTTTGTTCCCCTTAACTGCTGAAGAAATACTGGGGACATACCAAACGTGCCTCAAGGAGCCATGCGCTATGGAATCCTAGTGAGTAGAAAGTGGCAGACTTGGAGTCAAGAAAGCCTGGGTCTGAAATCCCTGCTCAGACACTCACAGTTGAACCCTCCACATATCCCATAACCTCTTGGAACCTCCATTTCCTCTTCGGTAAAATAGGAATAATAATAGCAACTACCATATAGGGTTGGCATAAGATTCAAATGAGGCACTATATATAAAGCACTTTGTTCATTTTAAAGTACTATAAAAATTATCTATTTGTTATATACAGTTATAGGCAGTTGTATATTCTTATATACACATGTGTGTATTCTATGCAAAATGCTCTACAAATATCTAATTTATCTAGTTTTATCCTCGTAATAACTCTGGGAAGTAACTGCAATCATTATCTCCATTTTATAGAAGAGGAAGCTAGAGTACACAGAGGTTAAGTGACACAACCAGGGTCACACAGCTAGTAAGTGTCTGATGCTGGATTTGAACTCAGGTCTTCCTGGCTCCAGGTGTGGGACTCTATCTACTGCACTACCTAGCTGCCTATGTATGTGTCTATACATATCTATATTTATATATCGTTATAGTTATAGCTATACATAGATATAGATATCTAGTGTGTATATATCTATACCTATTGATTTATCTACCTATATATCTACCTATAGATATCTCCGAGTATGTATCTACATCCAGAAATCCATAGGTTAGATATCTAGAACTAAATATATACACACATATATACATGTAACCATATAAGTGAATACACATGTAGATATACAAATATACACTATAACTTTTAAACACATGCATGTATGAGTCAACATACACATACATATGCATTCATATACAGTGATAACAGTGATCATATATGTATACCTGAGTATATATATACACATATAATCACTTACAATATGGGGAGGAGAAATGTATTTTGAAAGACTCTGGCAGTTCCTATGATCTGTTATCAAATAAGAAAATGAATGGATTGTCTAGTGTTTAATATCCATTGTGAATTATTTCTGTTGCATATGGCAAACACACCAAAGATCTGATCTGTTATGTATGCCATACTCGCCTGCATTCTCCAAGGCAGCCTCTTGCATTACTTGTTACCATCTCACAAGTTTATGTAGGAGGAAGGCTTTTACAGATTTGTTAACCAGCTCACAGGAAGGAATTATGAGCAGGAGCTCATTCACTGGTAGAGCTGTCTCTGACAGCTAATTATTTGGTAAAGGTGAATTCAGATGTTTTTATGAGAAAGACACAGAGGATTCAGTGTGGAGCAATGAGACATTCCTTCTTTACTGGAATATGGCTTATGTATTCTTCTCCTTGGTGACTAGTCTTTTAGGGAGTAATTCCCCCACCTCTTTTATACTGTTTCAGAAAAGGGGAGTGGGGAGGAAGCAAGACTTGGGATAAGGTTGTCATGGCAGTGGAATCCTAGAGGTGGTGACCCAGGGAATGATTATAACGTATGACAGTGCAAGGTCTAGATGGAGAAGTCTGGGAATGGTAGTTACCACAAAGAAGGAACTTGCCCTACCCTACCTAAAATGTAAATGCCCTGGGACAAAGCTCCATTGATCCCATGCCATTGATAGCCCTGCTCTTTGATCTGCTTTGTAACGCTCTTATCTTTGAACTCCAGATGTTTTCTATTGATCTTGTTTTGTTGTTCAGTCATTTCTATTATGTCCGTTGGGGTTTTCTTGGCAGAGATAGTGGAGTGGTTTGCCATTTCCTTTTCCAGCTAATTTGACAGATGGGGAAATTGAGGCAAACAGGGTTGAGCCCATCGTCACACAGTTAGTAAGTGTCTGAAGCTGGTTTTGAACTCAAGTCTTTCTGATTCCAGGCCCCAAACTATATTCAGTGTACCACCTACCTGCTCCATTTCCCTCTAATCGCATTAAAAGATACAAGGTGGCCATGATGATTTGCTGCTTTCTTTGTGTCCTCTGTATAGCTTAATGAAGACAGGACTGCCCATCTGGCACTAATGGCCTACCTGGCTAGATAAAAGCTTGCCAAATAAATAACCATTTAATTGATAGATGAGCAAGCAAACAGCTTCAAATGGGTCTTTCTCCAATAACGTGGCCCAGGTCATGTCAAAGCTTATCTGGGATTGCTTTGCCAGGGTGCTTTTGTTTTTTCTGCTGTGGTCACCAGAACACCAGCAGCTGGACTTCCATTTGATTTCCTGGGGAATGAGAGAATATTGTGTCTTCAGGCCAAAGGAGGGACACCATTAGAGCTTTCCTTTCCCGAAAGGAGAAAATGAGAGCCGTTAAGCCTGTGACCATGAATGTAGGCTTAGATTGATTAATGGGGCTTCAAACAGCAATTCTAATGATATTATAGGCTGTATTAAACACATTTTGATCTCTGGGAATGTTTTTTGCCTTAGGGGAAGATCACAGCTGTAATTAAATCACTCTTCTCTTAGCCCTTTTTGATCCTACAACCTACCAGTTGTAAAGCCTGTCAAATCATATTTTGGTAAGGTGAAGAGGACATCACTGGGGAGAGGGAGCTTGTCCCTCTTGATAAGAAACTGCATACCCTGACCTATTGAAATGAAAGACTGGGAGCAGCGATTGAATCTAATTTTCCCTCCTGTTGTACAAGATGAACCAAGTCAGCAGGGCCAGTCCCCACTGATGGCTTTGAAATACCATTATGATTGATCTTCTTGCCTTCTGGTCCATTTCTGTATAGGCGCCCATCACTGTCATACTTAACTGTTCTGATAGTACTCCTAGGTGACAGGACAAGAAAGGGGGCAGCTCGCACATTGCTGGAGCGTCTCAGAAGTGTTTCACTGCTTAGGCAGACAGGGAATCAAGTTAGAATTTACAAGATAAATTCTAAAATTATTTCTAGAGTGATGGTATGTATAATTTCACCCAAATGCATCTTTTTTTTAATTCCTCGTCTTTCATTACAATTCATAGACATAAAATGGGACATGCAAGCGAATATTATAAGGTTTCTGTTTTCCAACGAATTGAACATTACGGGTTGAATTTTTCTGGTTTTATCAGTTCTAGTTTGTTTTCCTGGGACCAGCAGAAGAGGCTAGTTATTTACCAAGTTTTGGGGGAAGGGAGCAATATATTGTGTTATGAATGTGAACTATTTTAGGGACTCTTTGGTCATTGACTTCTATACCCATGACTGGGGCAGCTAGGTGGTCCACTGATGGAGGTCAGATGTGGAATCAGGAGGATTTGATTTTAAATTCCCTTCCTAGCTGTGTGTCCTTAGGCAAGTCACTTAATATTTGTTTCCTTCATTTTCTTCATCTATAAAAAGGGGGATAATAATAGTACCTACCTCTCAGAGTTGTTGTGAAGATCAAATAAGAATAATTAAAGAGTGCCTAGGATGGTACCTGGCATATAGTAAGTGCTAGGTAGATGCTAGTGATTAATATTTTAAATTATTATCGGTAGTGTTACTATTATTCCACCAAGAAAATGTTACAAAAGTACAAAGAATAATCATTGTAAAACTGTTTTACTGTTAGAAGATGGATTTCTATTTTTTTTCCACGGTGAGCAAAAAGAAGACATTTCATTTGGAGCAGTGTATTCCCTCCTTAGCCAATGCCTACCACATGGCACCTAAAAACGCTTTTGTTTGTTTTGATCGATTTCTCCCATACAACGATTATGAATTCTTTGTTAACAGAAAACAACCTTTCCCCCCCCAAACAGATGTGCTTTATGAAGTTGTCCATGGCTTTTCTCATGGAGAAGAGGAGGCGGTCATAGACTCACATGTATACAGCCACAGGTGGAAAAGAAACTCAGAGCCTCTCAAGTCAATTGACACCAACCGAGCAAGTATGGGTCAAGATTCATCGGAACCGAGAGGCTTCACGGATCTGCTCCTCGATGATGGACGTGACAACAACACACAGATTGAGGTAGAGCTATATTCTTAGTATTTGAAATTCAATCTATGCCATTCAAACTAACCAAATAGTGATTGATCGTCTATTGGGTGCTATCTGTTGTGGGTAGCAGTAGAGTCATAGCTATACATATCTATATATGACACAGTCTCTACTTTAACGGAGCTTACAAGGCATCCATCAGGACACTTGACTTTTGTAATTCATACTAAATACCTATATCACAGGTTAACCATTTAGAAGGAATGGGATTGACTTACTTATTCAAGATGAGTCATGGAAACATTGAGCTAAAAGGGACCTCAAAGAATATTTAATATAGCTCAGACCCCTCATTTTTCAGTTCAGGAAACTGAGACCCATAAAGGAAGTGCGTTTCTGACACTTGACTGAGCAGAGGTGAGGCTAGAAACTGAGTTTTCTTTATACTACACTTTGCTGTCCGTTCCCTTCGTTTTGTAAAGCTAAGCTGGCCTAGGAAATAGAACAAATAACTAAATTATCTGCCTCATGAATTTGAAGATTAGTTTATTCATTCTGCCAGAAACCCAGCCTGTACGGCTGTGGGAGAGGATTCTAAATTTTAGAAAAACGACATCCTTTTCTCTTGTGTGCCCTATCGTGTCTGCGATACCGTTTTCGTTTGTAAAGGGTTTCCGTACAAAGAAGCAGACAAAATACGAGTACTGAAAATAGCGCTACAACTTTGTTTCCCCTGATGATTGGCAAAATCTTCTGTCTGGTTTTCCCCCCAGAAGACAGAAGAATTAAGAATTTTTAATAAGGAAAAATGCTTGGCAGATTTTACAAAATCCTTTGTGCAAATCACTTGGCTTTATCGGATGACCTCAGTGGTCTCTACAGACTGTGTACCTCCTGCAGTGCTAACCCTCATCTCTTCTCACCTGATTGTTTGCAGCATCCCTCTAATTGAACCAACAGGCCAGAAGCTGGCCTTTCTTTACTCTAGTAGTAAATCCTACATATAGCTGCCAAAATGATCCTCCTCAGGTGCCAGGCTGACTGTTTCTGCTATTTGACAATATTTGGTGGTTCCCTATTGACTTTAGGATAAAATGCATTTCTCAGCTTAAGAAGTTTGCCAAATCTGATGGCCTCTTCTTAAGCCTCATCCTTTTTAATTCTCTGTTGACTCGCTCTCCTCTTGAATCTTTGATCCTTTCTGGGTTTCCTTGACACTGCTATCTCCTGATCTTCTCACCTGTCTGACAGACCTTGGTATCCTTGGTTCATTCATTATCTGAGTGTACCCACTAACTATCAGTGTACCGAAGACTTCTTCTCTCTTTACTGTCTCTCATTAGTGCTGACAGCACGGCTCCTCATCTCCTGGTTCAATGATCATTCTTATTATCCAGCCCCAATCTCTCTCTCTCTCCCTCTCTCTCTCCCTCTCTCTCTCTCTCTCTCCCTCTCTCTCTCTCTCTCCTCTTCTCTCCCTCTCTCTCTCTCTCTCTCTCTCTCTCTCTCTCTCTCTCTCTCTCTCTCTCTCTCTCTCTCTCTCTCTCTCTCTCTCACTGTCTCTCTCTCTCTCATTATGAAATGACTTTTAGCAAAAAAAAGACTTCCCATACGCATTTGGCATTTCAAACTTATCTACATCCAAAATAGAGCTCCTCATCTTGTCTTACATCTCTCAGTCTCTCTCTGTCTCCCTCTCACTCTCTGTCTCTCTGTCTCTCTCTCACTCTCTCACTGTCACACACACACACACACACACACACACACACACACACACACACACACCCTATTCTTTTAGAATTTCCCTATGTCCTTTGAGGAAACCATCATCCTTCTGGTCTTTTAGAGCTGTAGCCTGCTATGTCCTCCTCAATGCATTATACTCCTGCCATGGGTCTAAATATTTGCCAGATATTATCATTTGCACATCTGTTGTCTCTCACGTCTGTCCTGTTATCTCCATTCATACAGGTACTGCCCTACTTCAGAGCCTGATCAGCTCTCACTTGGACTTTTGCTCTTCCTATTGGGTTTCTCTACCTCAAGCCTCACTTCCCTCTCCAATCTAGCCTACTCATAGTCACCAAAGAGACTTTCCTAAAGTTTAGGACTGACCATGTCACCCCCTGCTCAATAAACTCCAATGATTTCTTATTACCTTCAATATATACTTTCAAGTTGGAGATTTAATGTTCTTTACACCATAGTTCCTTTTCTTTTCTTTTCTAGGCAATTGGGGTTAAGTGACTTGCCCAGGGTCACCCAGCTAGTAAGTGTCAAGTGTTTGGTCTGAGGCTGGATTTGAACTCAGGTTCTCCTGACTTCAGGGCCAGTGCTCTATCCACTGCACCACCCAGCTGCTCCCCCTTCTTTTTCATTCTTTCTACAGCCACATTGTTGTAGTTGCTATTCTGCCTAAGCAGTGTTTTATCTCTAGTCTCCACACCTTTGCACGGGTTATCCCCTGTGCCTGGTACATGTTTCTTTCTCACCTCCACCTCTCAGAATCACTCCTTTTCTTTAAATGCCGCCTCCTACATGAAGCTGTGTCACCCCTCATTCTCTGAGATGCTGGTCTTCCTACTTTCAAACCTGTCCTAGATTCATTTTGGATGCATTATATTTGTTGGTACATACATCCATACACGTCTATACATACACACATAAGTTTTGTCTTCCCCATCCCATTAGAATGGAATGGTCTAATAACAAGTGGTATTTCTCTTTCTTTCCTCCTTTCCTTCCTTCCTTCTTTGCCTGTCTTTTTCTCCCTCCCTCCTTCCATTCCTTCCCTTCTCCCTTCTTTCCTTCCTTCTTTCCTTCCTTCCTTCCTTCCTTCCTTCCTTCCTTCCTTCCTTCCTTCCTTCCTTCCTTCCTTCCTTCCTTCCTTCCTTCCTTCCTTCCCTCCTTCCTTCCTTCCTTCCTTCCCTTTTCACTAGTGTTTAGCTGAGTGCTTTGCAAACAATTACTTAATTAACACTTGTTGATTGAATGATGCTTAGAATCCTTCTGAATCCAACTCCAACCTAGTTTTCTAGGGTTATTCCATATTACTCCTTTTCACAAACTCTACCTTCCAGCTCTGCTGATGTATTTAGGATTCTATCTCCTGCCACTGTACCACTGCCCAGGATGTTTCAGGTACCTAGAATGCCCATGCTCTTCATTTATTCCTCTTAGAACTCCTAGCTTCATTTAAGGTTTAGCTCATAAGCCACATTCTCTGAGAAACTTTTCCATTAGGGCAAGGATTAGTTTTATTTCTTTTTCTTTGTATTTCTAATGCTTTAATCCATGGTTGTTGAATTGTAAATTGAAAAAAAGGGATGCACTGGGGAGAGAGCCAAGAGCATGCAGGCAGCTCTTTTCCCATCTGTTGTATGGGGTTTTGTTATGTCAAGTAAATGAGAAAACTCTATTCTAAGCAAATGCTTACCTAAAATATAGTTTCCGAAATCTAAGAGTTTACAGGTGAGCACTTCTCTTCACTGTCCAGAACTAGCATCCTGCTGAGAGTAAAGGAAAAACAAAAGAACCAGTCATGACTTTGTGTTCACTATTGTAGACTGGGGCAGATTTACACAAATTCAAAAAAGAAGTTGACTCCATTGCCTTGGGGAATACTGTAACTAGCTAAAATTTAATCCTAGTTACTCCTAAATGCATGGTTTTTGTGATTAGGTTTTTCTTTTCATTCTGTTGTCAGAGATACACCATGTAATGTTATTAATTTTGAAATGGATAACATCAACAAAAACAACACATACACGCACAGACAGACAGACTTTGTGATGTCTTTTGGCAAGAAGTAAAAAAAAATCTTGTCCCGAGGCAGGGCTTCATAGAGTGTATTTGTCACCTGCCTCTCTCTCAATGTCTCTCTTTGAAGATCGCTGCCTCTTTTGTTGTACACACTTCTGCCTGATTTGACTTCACAAAGGGAAAGAAATGGATGTGCATTATGATCGCATAGCCTTAATAGAAACAGTGGGTTTCCAAGATTCCAAGTGTCCTTTCCTCCAAATGCTTCCACTGCCAGTGATAAGAATGGGAATTATTTAGTCTAGGAATGCGGACTGCCTTACATTCAAACTCATTTGTCTGGTTATGAGGTCAAGGCCGGAATAGCATTCAAATGTGTATTCTCCCCAATTTACCACTGTCTAGACTTTGTAACCCTTGTCCACTAAACAGCAACAGCGAGGGGTCAATGGAGTGAATACTCAACATTTGGCAGGAAAGAATTCTAGCTCCGATGAGGCTGTTTTTTCTCCTCCTTTAGGAGCAGCACATCTCTGTGATACTGTACAACCCCAGATAATGGAGGAGTTTTAAAGCCTTTTATCCAAGTAGAAGGATTCAGCTAACTGATAGAACAGGTGGATTTCCCCCCCCTTCTTTCTGCCATCAAAAGATGACATTTTTTGTTATCTTTTTCAATTTGAGGCTAATTGTATTTTCTGTTGAATAAACAAGAAACTAGCAGTTGGCAAATATCATTCTTGACCTGAATGATGATTTATGTTATGTTGTTTCTTGTATGCCATCTGTTTGCATGAATGTGTGACTACTTAACAAGAAAGAGAAAGGAGCTACCTTCTGATCAGTTACTCAAAAAGGAGACATGTTGGGGCAGCTAGGTGGTCCAATGGATAGAGAACCGGCCCTGGAGTCAGGAGGACCTGAGTTCAAATCTGGCCTCAGACACATAACACTCACTAGTTGTGTGACTATGGCCAAGTCACTTAACCCCAACTGCTCTCACAAAAAAAAAAAAGAGATTTGTCAGCCTGTGAATATTAGTATGAACTGATGCTAAGTGAAGTGAGCAGAACCAGGAGAACAATTTATACAAAAACAAGAAAAATAATTGTCCCTAAAGTCAGAAAAGCCCAAGTTTGAGCCCTGCCTCTGAGTCCTGCCCTCTACAATAGCCATGCTGTCTCTTATGAGTATAAATTAGAACTCTCTGCAACTAGAAGTTGCAGGACTTTGGAGTTGCTATGAAGGTTGCTGAATCTTAATTTCCT